TGCTTCACCAACTCTGAAACCTACGTGTGAAAATTCAAAATTTTATGCATGTGCCTATTTGCAAATCCACTAACATTTCACTTAAAAAATGAATTAGGATTGACTCTCTGTCAATGAATAGCATAATATTTTAGAAGAATCAATATGTAAATTTAGAATATTTTATAAAATGCAAAATTTATTCACATTATATCATTATATAATTTATTTAACAGAATACAGTTATTTAGTAATTTGACATAAACTAACCACAAATGAAACAAGTTAAACTAGAAGATAATTACATAAATGCCAGCATGACTGGTTCATACAAGCTTACTTTATCCATGACATGCCAACTCTCTCTGAAAATAGGCTCTCCTATAGTAACATGATCTCTTCTACTAGGGCATTATTTAAAACAATGCTGATCCCTAGGGTATCACATTTCCTTGAGCATTATCAATCTATGTAGTCACCTACTCTAACCTTATTTAGTTTGTGAAATAGGATGCAACACACCCAGAGGAGGCAATGCCTTGAGTACCTTCTTAATCAGCACATTGTTGTTGACTTTGATATCGATGTTAATGGGAGTGTTAGGAAAGGCCTCAAAAACTTCCTTCAGTAATGGAATTCGGTTATCTTTTCCTTCACATTGGCATGCTGAGAAAGCAAGATTTTTAAATGTATTTTTAAAATACAAGTTTTGCTTTTTGATGACTAGAAAAGGTATAGAATATATTCATTAAAGGACATTTACAAAATAAGAAAAAGTATAGAGAAGAAAAAAATCATGTAAATCCAACAACTTAGATATAAACGCTATGACCATTTGGTGTACTTTCTCTACTCTTTTTTCCTATGCATGATTTAATATAGTAATAATATGATATGCTACAGATTTTAACTTGATATTTTCACATAAAAATAAATATTTTCCTGTTGATTTACTGTGCTTATGATTATGATTTATTTTTTATTAATTTTTTATTTTGAGATAACTACAGACTCACAATCAATTGTAAGAAATAATAGGGTCCATGTACCCTTTATCCAGATTTCCCAGTGGTAACCTTCTTGCAAATCTATAGTACAATATCACAACCATGATACTGACATTGATACAATCCACTGATCTGATTCTATCATAATTTTTTAAAAGGTGTCAGAATATCCTCATTGAGTAGCTATACAATAATTTATTTTAATTTAACCATTTCCCTACTAGTAGATACTGAGATTGTTTCTAAAGTTTTGCTATATCATCATTGACTTTTTCAGAGATTAAAAATAACATTCAGGCAAGGGAAGTACACACTAAATCAGTAATGTGTTGAAGAATTACATGAATGCAGTTATTCAAAGAAAATTCAAGTAATGAGAAAATTAGAAGGGGACTTTAATTGTTGTTTATATTTCCTGAGGATTATTTTCTTTAGCCTTTCTCTAGTCCCTTTGGTTGGTTGGTTGGTTGGTTGGTTGGTTGTTTGAGACAGGGTCTCACTCGGTCGCCCAGACTGGAGTGCAGTGACACAGTCTCGGCTCACTGCAACCTCTGCCGTCTGGGCTCAAGTGATCCTCCCACTTTAGCCTCCTGAGTAGCTGGAACTACAGGAACACCACCATGCTGGGCTAATTTTTTTGTAGTTTTTGTAGAGATGGGGTTTTGGATTTGGCCAGGCTGGTCTCAAAATCCTGTGTTCAAGTGATATGCACGCCTCGGCCTCCCAAAGTGCTGGGATTACAGGCATGAACCACCGCGCCGGCCTTGTTTTATTTTTTGTAGCAACAGGGTCTCACTGTATTTTGCCCAGGCTGGTCTTGAACTCCTGATCTCAAGCAAACCTGCCACCTCAGCCTCCCTAAGTGCTGGGATTACAGGTGTGAGCCACCACACCTGGCTCTCTAGTCCCTTTTGACTCTAATGACTCTAATCATTTATATAATTTACTATACATACTATACAACTATTGTAAAAATTGTTCTGCTTCCACCCGAAACTTCAATTCCGCTAATCTGCAAATAACAAACTGGTGAAAAATCCTTTATTCCATCTTATTATACAGCAAATCAAAAAAATGCATTATCAAAAAGTAAATGAAATGCATGTCAGAAAAGTAAATTATTTATAATTAAAACCTATGTGAAAAGCAGCATGTACATTAAAGAGGAAAAAAGGAAGTCTGTTACTATACTTCTTGTAATTCTGACGGGGGTCTGGGTTACTCTCATGGGACTGGCAATTATTGGCTCTGCCTCTCTGACCACAGACTAAATATGTGACCAGTCTAACCTGTTAAGCATAACAATATGGACACTGGGAGAGAAGGCCTCTTGAAATCCTTTGCTGAATGGATCATGTACAAGCTGCCAAGAGTTCATCTCTGTGGAAAGGGTGTCCCTAAAAGTAAAGCTAATACAAATGAAAGCAAAAGCAAGAAACGGAGATAAAGAGAGACCAATTACTGCTTGAGCAACTGGAATCAGTCATGTCTGAGGGCATATAACCCCTGGACTTTCTAATTATGAAAGCCAATACATTCTTTTTAAAATTTTTTTCTTAAGCTATCTTGAGATGTATATCTAACACTTATAACTGAAAGAGTTTAAACTTATCATAGGCTACATAATTAAACTTTAAAAATTATGTTTATAGTAGATAGCTTG